GGTCATCAGTGCATTTTACATTTGCACTGTTGTATGCTGATTTATTTGTAAAGTCAGATTTCTGCACATGTGGATGATTCTGGCCTTTATATAACGTTTACGTGGAAAATACATAATCTGAATAAAATAATACACATTTCACACGGTGCTGCTTAACAACATAAACTCACAAAATAGACTCAATTTACACTGAGCTGATAATGAACCTCCACATCCTCCAAATGTCCCAGAAAATACTTAATTCAGATCTCACATCAATCACCATAGTAAACATGAACCTTTCATAAAAACCTTATCATGTGTTTTACATGAGATATTTGTGTGTTTTAATGATTTCACAGGTTAAATTTTGCTTCTACAGTTGTTATTAACCTCAAACAGAACTTTTCAGATGTTGATGAAGAATCAAGGGATGAATAAGACCACTGTTCTATGTAAATCATCCACACTATTTATAAAGCTGTCCATGTGTAAATTATTGTCCTTTTCCCCCCAAAATTCATCTTGGACACATAATAATTAGAATAACTAAACACTTTATTTACATAGCAGCATTAAAACACATGTACAAGGTGCTTTACGGGTTAAAAATCAGATTTTCAACAGTTAAACAGCAAAAAATAAGACAAAATTGAAGATCACGCAGCATTAGATACAGATACAACACAGTGAAATGTTGCAGGTGAGAAGACAGTGAAAATAAGATAAAAAAGAACATTATACAATGATTGAAATAACTGGAATCAAAAAAGTAAATGTGTCTTGAAGAGAGATTTAAAGAGTTTTCCTGATGGGTCTTCTCAGGGGTTCCACAGAGGTCATGATCCTCTTCTTTGATTTTTCAAGACAGCATTTGGACTCACGCAGGAGTCAGTGACCGACCGAGCGTTACCTCGGGTGTTTTCATGTGATTCATCAATCAGTCACTTTTCATGACTGAAAAAATCAATTATAGTGAGTGAAACTTTACAGATACAAATTAAGCATTTCGTGGGACTCAATTATCATTTTCTATGTTCATCTTTATTCTGAACATTAATATTCATGATGAATTTAACAAAATGAATAGAAACCAGTTGGCAGACTGTACCCACCTGTACCTTCATGTTATGTTCAATTATAAGTCATGCAGAACATGTTTTACAGCCTGCATTTGACTTGTGCAGTGATTAGTCAAGCCCTACAAATATAAGACATGTGCACAAAAAATACTAATGTGTGTAGAACATGAATCTGGCAGGAAGTTCAGCAGGAAGAGGGCAATGACCTGTGGTGCAGGAGTGAATGCCAAAGCAGCGACACCAAGTCTCACACTCATATATTTACATACTTCTATCTGTCTCAGGTGGATGGTGGACACATGAGGAAAAAAAGAACAAACCTCCAACAGAGAAGATGGCTCTTAATTATTTGTACAGACTTTTATTGTGATTTACATAATTTACAAAGTGGAAACACACCTGAAGATTCAATTTAATGAGTTTTCATCGTCTTACTTAAGACTCAATGTTTAAAAGTAGACTGTGATGAAAAGTCTCGTGTGGTTTGATTCATGAAAACATCCTCAAACTGTCAGTTAATGAGTCTATGATGGATGAAAATCTGCAGGAAAACAGATTGTGACATTTGATTATCATACCAGATAATGTGCTGGATTCAAAACAATGATCACATAGTTTGAACAGTTGTATTATTTCTCCAAACTGCACCCCCGCGAGTCTGTCTAACTTGGTATATTCCAAGTTCCCCTTCTCCATATATCCCATTGGACTCCTCCTCTTCCTGTTTGCCAGTCGGTACTTCCGCACGGATGCAGAGCTGCGTGGATCTGGAGCCCATAGATCTTCATGATGTAAATACTGTTTCAAATATCAACCCAGTTATTCGATCTTCTGTGTGTTCGACGTGTCGCTGCACATTTGTCGTTGTTCACTTGTGTTTTAGAGGAAAACTCGTCT